AAACTTGACACTAAGGGGATTATTTAGTTTTAGATTCGCTGTAGTCCATAGTAATAGCCAACAGGGAAAGGAATGAAGCAGCGATATTAGCAGGGAGATGGGAGGGGAGGGCGGATGAGGGAGGGGGTGGCATAGGCTGCAGCTAAGCAAAACTGCTTGCATAAACACCATTAAGAAGATTTAGACATTGCTTTCCTTATCATCAGCACTCCTGGAAGAAATAAAAAGAGAGAGAGACAGAGAGAGAGAGAGCGCAAACGGAAAAAGGGATGGGGCCCGACTTGCTGTGTATGCGTTTCCATCAAGATTCAATAGAAAATAAAACTAGCCCAGGGTCCAAACTGCAGCATTCCTGCCGACCTCTCTTGAGTTGCCTGAGCCTCATCACGGTCCAAAGGAGACATTTGTTCCACATGTTAACGGAGGGAGAAGTCAGCGCAAAGGGAAGAAAGCGTGTGGCTTCCAAGCAAATGCCGGAAGAGATAAAATTAGGTCACTTTTGGCTGACCAAAGAGCACATTTACATTTAAGGCCCTGTGCCGACGCCATCCTTTTAGGACCTGGAGTGCCTTTGTGTTCCCTTAACAGAGACAATTAATTCTCTGTGGAAATGGGGAGGGGGGGAATGGATGGACAAGCATCCTAGCATCCCACTGGCTGCACAAATGGCAGGCTAAACTTTGAGTGATGCTGCCCCCAAGCCTGGGACCTCTTGTGTCGGGAGGGTGGCTCATGGAAACGGCAAAAGAAATCCCTAGGAGAAAGCGATTGTGAAGAAGGAGGAAAAGGAGGAGGAGGAGGAGACGAGGCGCAGACTTGGAAAATGGGCACACAACAGATGCAAGAATAAAACTAGGGGCAACGAGGAACATCATTACTTATCTTGCTTTTGGCCAGTTATGTTTGGTCTAATCTCAATGGTCTGCATGATGGAAGCAGCTGACTGAAAGACTCACAATACAGTTTAATGGATCCCACAAGTGACTCCATCTATAACTCATTTCTCAAACTCAAAAGACATAGGGATGAGATGAATTCCTGTAAGGATCCAATCAGGCATCTTTTATTTTCTCTTCTTACCATCTTCTTTCATTTGTCCCTGTGAAGCACTTTGAAGCACACCTGCTTTCTGCTCTCATGAGCAACAGGCTCTTTGACAGTGGGCTCAGGTGGCCTCACAGACAGCTGGGGGCCAGATCAGCATCCCTATTTCCACTGCGCTGCTAACAGAAAAACAAAAGCGGGGATAGGGAGAATGTCTGTGAGATTGCCAGATAGGTAGGGGTAAGAAGGGTTCATGACTTTTTCTCTTTTTTTAAAGCACAGTGGGAAATAGGTGGAAAAATAAACCATATGGGTGCATGTAGAAATTACAGAATTGCATTTAAAATAGGAATAAAATCTCAATATATGGAAGGGGGAAAGCATCATGGGCTGCTCAACTGTGTGGCACATGGTCAGGGCTGGCCCAAGGCATTTTGCTGCCTGATGTAACAGACAAGATGGCAACCCTTCCCCATTCTGTGGGTAGAAGCTGACTGAACTGGCCATCGGATCTCATCTCCAGACTGGCAAGGAGGCAATGTTCGTTACCACCCCTGAGGGCAGTAGGCAAGGGGCAGGCCACATGATATACACAGTTCTGTCCTCCAACACCTCACTGCCACTTCCGACCCACCCATAACAACTGACACCTGAAGTTACTGTCTCACTCTGCCCAATGGTAGGGCCAGTCCTGCTGTTTATGGTAAAGCAGATATGCACTAATATTATTGGAGCATGGAGAGAACAGCCTACACCACACAGACAGAAGCCCAGTTCAGATGTCATGGCAAGGAGGTGTGACAGGAGCCTACTACCTGTGCTTTCTGGAAACAATTGAATAATTTTTTTTCTTCCAACAAGCTTTCTCAGCTGGATGAATAGCACTTTTTTTTTCTTTTTTCTTTTGCCAAGGGCTTCTTCTCCATATTGTTTTTAGATTTATCCAGTGCTTTTTTTATGGGAGGACGCAGGCAGCACACACATACACCCAAACATTTAGTGAATCTAACAGGAGAAGAAACTAAAAATGTAATTTTTTTTAGTTTCTTCTCTAGCACAGTGAATCGTCAGTTCTGTTGCTACCGCCGATGGCGGCCTCATTTCTTGTCACAGTGTTTCCTGAGTCTCAGACGGAAGTGAGCGTTTAATGTGTGAAGCAGTGTGGAATGTGGATGTGTGGTGTTTTATTGATGAAAGTTTGGCCTCTTTGAGGGGCAGTATTTCAATATGAGTAATGCATATTGTACTTTTGTCTATTTACTGTATTTATTTTTCCCAATTTGAAGTATAAGATGGTGATTTTCTTGAGTCAAAATGAGAGTACCCCTAAACATTTTTTTAAAGAAAAAAAAGCACTGGATTTATCTGTCATTTAAATGTCAGTTCCACCACCAAGGCAGCCCTACTCTTGGTAGATTTCTGCTGAACAATGTCAGTGAGGTTATTAGGAGCAGGGCCTCAGGTGTAGAACAGACTGGATGAAGGGGTATGAAGGGGCTTGGGTGGGGCTTGATGAAGTTACCTCAACAATAGGGCAAAACCCTCACACACTAAGTAAAAATAATGTAAGTTCACCAACCCACCCTCTCCCCACCTAATTTTTCCCCAGCCTTATAGTGTATACAACATTAATGTCTCACATAGAATCTAACTAATCTGTAGAAACGACTCTATGACCTGAAAATAGAGACAATTCAAGTAGTTTTGTAATCCAAGGAAACCTTTAATAAAAACACCAACAACGGATGCACTAACGGTAAGCTAACACATGGGTTGGTCATATAAATCCCTTGACTCCCCTTGGTGGCATTCTGCTCAACACACGGACTTTAGGAGTAGCACCAGGAGGCATGCAGATGTTACAGGCAAGGTGAGCAGGTGAAATTGTCCCCTCCTTACATTGTTTTATTTGCTGGATGCTGGCATGCTTTTAGGATGTGTGGTCTGTTTGTTTCGAAGAGTTAGAATGGTATTTTAATACATTTCATTATTTGTGGTTTGTTTTTATTTTGTAATCTGCCTTGAGGATCTTTGTTATAGAAAGGCAAGGGATAAATTTTAAAACTACTGCAATAAAGATTATAAATGATAATTCATGGCTCTTGGGAACAGGTCTAGCTATAAACCAAGTTTCTGATAGATCTATTCATTGGCCCTTGAGCCTCACTGGATTCCAGATTCTCCTCTAGAAAATGAAGACATGTTGGTTGACTTATTCAGAAACTCTAGCTGTGCACTACGTATGGCTTTTATCTCAAGAAATACATGACTTTGGAATGTATATATTCAATCAGATTGTCCTTTCCTTTGATCTGGGCAGTCTCTGGATCAGAGACTCTTGGGGCATGCGGGATGGGGGCCTGGTGATGTTGCGATATATAATCTCTGCAACCAAAATGAGGTTTCCCTGGAATCTGTATTGTCCCTTCAGCAAGTCACGGCACTTAACAGGAATCCGATAAGTCTTTAGCCACTGTTTTGTTAAAAAAACCACAACTCCTTCCCATTCACTTTTTGCTTGGGTGGGGGAAGGATATTGTTGGCGCTGAGGGAAGAAGAGCGTCCTGGTTTGCCAGTCCAGGAGTGGAAGATCTGATTTGTATTGTTGGAGATCCAAGAATAAGGCAAAGGTGAAAGGCAAAGAAGAGAAAGAGAGAGGCAGAGAAATCAAAGCGGACCATTAAGAAGAATGGTTATCTAGGAAGTTTGCCTTAGGCAAAGAGTTAATCCAGGCCTGGGAAGAGACTGTATTGGTAGTTAAAGCCCTTTAATGGCCTAAGCCCTATGATAATTAGTCTTGCCCTGGAGGTAGCTAATAGTGAGCCACTCCAGCTTGAAATGGTCCTTGATCCACTGCTGCGGCCCTAATCCACTGCATACAATAGAAGCTGAACTAATTCACTGAGTAAACACTTTCTCCAGTTACTTACAAGCATCTTCTTTCAGCCCTGTACCAAATAGATTCACTTTCAAGGCTTGGAAAGAAAATCAACTTTTCTTTCTTTCTTTCTTTCTTTCTTTCTTTCTTTCTTTCTTTCTTTCCTGATCTTGATTGAAGTGCATTTGGGCTTCCTATGTATCCTGAGCAGAATCTAGATGCGTAATGGTGCATATTCTCCTCCCTGCCCCTGCAGCCACCAGCAGCCTTTTATTTTAGTTCCTAAAAATGGCTTTTCTCTCTCTCTTTAAATAAAGCGTCTCCGTTCTAATTGCCCAGGCTTTCCCCCTTGCCGTCTTTGAAGAGGCGCACGCTTGAAGACAGCGGGCAGTGGGAGCTGTATGAATCATCCAAAAAGATGCCAGAGCTATAAAATGTCTCCTGCTGCTGGCTCAGCAATTCCAACCGACTAAAAGCCTTCGCATAGTCCTAACAAGCATTGACTCACCAAGACACGAAACTCCAGGTATCTTGAACCCGCCCACCAGGCTTTTCAAAAAGCTACCCATAAAAAGGAGTATTCAAGTACGCAGCAGCTTTTGAATGTGTCCCTACAATGCAGTGCATATCATTAGGGTTATACAGTGATAAATTGAGAACTGGACCATAAAGAAGGCTGATCGTCGAAGAATTGATGCTTTTGAATTATGGTGCTGGAGGAGACTCTTGAGAGTCCCATGGACTGCAAGAAGATCAAACCTATCCATTCTGAAGGAAAACAGCCCTGAGTGCTCACTGGAAGGACAGATCCTGAAGCTGAGGCTCCAATACTTTGGCCACCTCATGAGAAGAGAAGACTCCCTGGAAAAGACCCTGATGTTGGGAAAGATGGAGGGCACAAGGAGAAGGGGACGACAGAGGACGAGATGGTTGGATAGTGTTCTCGAAGCTACCAACATGAGTTTGACCAAACTGCGGGAGGCAGTGGAAGACAGGAGTGCCTGGCGTGCCCTGGTCCATGGGGTCATGAAGAGTCGGACACGACTAAACGACTAAACAACAACAGTGATAAATTAGGGGAAAGGCTGTAGGTCAGTGGCAGAACATCAGCCTTGAAAGCAGAAGGTTCTTGGTTCAATCCCTGCTCCAGCATCTCCAGATAGGGAGAATGTTTCTTGTTTCAAACTGTGAAGAGCAGCTGCCAGCTAGCGTAGACAATTCTGAGATGGAACAATGGTCAGATTTAAAATACAGTCAAACCAACAATTCACGCTTTGCTAGGTAGGTACATGATAGGAACCGAAGCTCACAGAGTTTCCCTGTAAGTTTCCTAGAGAGGCCTCTGTGAGAAACACTCCTGCTGTGCGCTGTGGGGAAACCACTGCATCCCTAACCCAAGCCTTCTGCCTGCTCAAGCTGGTCCTCCTTGCTGTTGCTGCTGCTTCGCCTGCCCTCTTCAAAAACCGGAGAAGTGAAAAATTCAGTGAGAAATTGCAGCATCCACCTTGCCTTGCCCTCTCTCATCTCTAGGCAGAACTCCAGAGTGAAAACAGAGGGAGAGGGAAAGTGAAGGCACAGTGGTCATGGTGGCAAGGAGGTGGACCCACCCAAGAAGCATGGCCATCAGAGGACATCTTATACAGTGGTACCTTGGGTTACATATGCTTCAGGTTACATACGCTTCAGGTTACACACTCCGCTAACCCAGAAATAGTGCTTCAGGTTAAGAACTTTGCTTCAGGATAAGAACAGAAATCGTGCTCCGGAAGCACGGCAGCAGCAGGAGGCCCCATTAGCTAAAGTGGTGCTTCAGGTTAAGAACAGTTTCAGGTTAAGAATGGACCTCCGGAACGAATTAAGTACTTAACCTGAGGTACCACTGTATAGTGTATTGCATTTGATACCCAGTCCTTCAATCTAAAGGTCCCCATCTGGTCCAAGGACCTTCAAACTCTGTATCTGATGCTGTTTCCCCATCACACTGTAAAACCTCAGTCCTAGCACAAAGTCCTAGTGCTTTTGGACTGAGCCACAGTCAGTTGGGTAAAGTCTCTTTCATCCCTCTGCCTGCTTCCTTCTCCATTCACTTCACCACAGTCTCCTAATGTGCCTGGGGAACCTTTTGGGGACAGAGGTAAAAATGGGCAGAGCAATGAATGTGAACATTACCTTTGTGCAGTAGGCCAGTTTCTACACACATTTCCTCTCTATCCTTCATCCGAGCAAGCAGGGGGCATCATCAGAGTCCAATAACAGATTCCTCACTGGCACCCAACACTCAAGGAAGGCACCAAGCAGAGCTGGAGAAGGGTGTGGCTGGAGGAGAACCCAAAAGGCCACATAAAAAGGCCTGTGGTTCTCCATCCTTGAGGGTGTGCGTGTGTTTTTCGATTCAAGCAGTATATAAATTTTGTAAAGCAATAAATGAAAAATTCAAAGTTGTAAAATGACAGGAAGAAGGAAGGGAGAAAAGGATGGAAGGAAGGAAGGACGGAAGGGGAAAAGAAAGAGAGGAAAATGTCTGTTATCTATTGGTACTGAGAGTGCTAAGAGAGAGGCAGCCTTCCTGGAGGCCCTCTCCTGCTATCAAAGTTGTTGGCAAGCACCATTAATACAGTTGCTTGGAGCGAGAAAAAGAATGATATTTGAAGTGCTGTGTGTGTGTGTTACACACACACACACACACACACACACACACGAAAAATGGTAAAGAAGGAGGCAGGGAGAGACAGAGAAAGGGGGGGGGGAAATCCCTGTTTGCATTAGCAGCTGCTTCTGTCTCCAGGCTCTTTGGCAATGATACCTCATCCCATCCATTCAACAACCCATTATCATTTCCCTCCTTCCCATTATTCCCCTTCAACCTTATCAGATGCAAGCATCGCCTCAGACACTCCAACTGGAGTCTTGTAATTGTCCCCTGGTTGGAGCTCGATAGCACCTTGAACCGCCAGAGCAATCTCTGCTTAAAAAATAGGCCTCAGAAAGGAGGGGAGGAGAGAATTTGCCTGTGGCTATGTGGGATCCTTAATAGCTAACTCCCTCTCTCTCTCCCCTTCTCTCACTCTCTCACACGTGCAGAGAGAGGTATAAATGGAAAGGGAAGATTTTTTTTATTTGCTATCCCCATTTTATTTTATTTTTTGGATCAGAGGCAGGTGGATTTCAGTCAGTGTACATTGGTTTATTATGAAACAAAAGTGCATACTCTAGGGTTGCCATATTTCAAAAAGTGAAAATCCAGACACAGAAGTTGTTGAGCTCTTTTTTAGTTTTGCTTTTTGGCAAAATCGCAAAAAATGACGTTTTTATTCAATTTTTATGGGAAATTAGCAAAAAGGACACTGTCAACATGGGTTGCCATACACCTGGATTATCCCGGACACTGCTTCCGAGTGCAGTATTTCGGGTATGTCTGGGAAATTCTGGACATATGGCAATCCTAGCATACCCAGGACCTCTTCCCGGTTCAGGAATAACTGCATTAAGCAGACACTCTTATGTTAGACACTCTTGTTTAGCAACTTAAGTCATGATTCAGTCTTAAGGTCCACTGGCTCCAGAATTCTTTGCAAGGAACCAGCAGGTGCTACATAGCTGTCCAGTGGATTGTACAGGCCAAGCCCTATCATTAGGTAGAGATTTTCACTGTTGTGAGGGAGGGAGAGAGATGCTTGTGGGATTTTCTGCCTCAGGTGCCAAAATAATTTGACTGAACTTGGGTCCTAATTACTATTATTTTCTTTCATCTCAGGCAGCAAAGTGACTTGGCCAGCCCTGCTTCTGCAAATCCCTGTTTTAGGCAGTCAGTTCAGCAGTGATATCTCACAATCTTTTAAAAAATTAAATCTCAAGAGTGCTTTGGAGAAGTGCCTCCCTCCATGCCACAACTACAATGGGTGACAGGGCAATATAACATTGGGAGAAGATGGGTAGATGTGAAATACTTGAAAGGGGAAAGAAACAGATTCAACTTCTCCCCTTCTGTATTGTGCCATGAATGAAAGAAAATTCAGCTTGCTCAGATAAGGGGCACTTGGTAACAGCTGTGCTCAGGTAGAGATGTTGGAAAGGAGAATGTAATGAGTCCAACCTGAGTTCTGGAACCACATGATTAAGTTTTCCAGGTGAGAATTAATACTCTAAGTTGTGCTACAGTGCTGCTTAGAATACATATGCCAGGTGTTATTGAAAGCAGCTTTCCCCATTCAGGAATTAAACCCTGTGATCCATTCATTGCTAGAGATCAGCTGACTCTGAGGAGCACATGACTCCATGGGAAGTCTGCTCATTAGATTTTCAGCAAACAAATTATATTTGATGGCATTTGTGTTGTTGCTATTAGACATCTTGATTGGGAAGCCATTTGGGGGAAAGCAGTAGTGAATTGCGAGGTGGGGCAGTGCCAGCTACTTGACTTCCAGTCATTTCACTACAGCTTACCAGAAGGTAGATGGGGCAGGGTCGAGGTGGTGAGGTTGGTGCAATGCAAATGTACCAAGCTGGGGTGCGCAGTGGACTTTGCTGCCTCCCCCTCCCTCTCTATCTCCCAGTAAGTAACTGGCCAGGGGCCAGTTAAATGGTGCTCTCCCACCATGCCATCTGCCACTGGTGCACAATAGAGAAGATAGGTTAACACAAAAATAAACACAAGGGATTATAGAGGAAAGCGAATCCCTTTTACTCTCCCTCCCAAAGCCCCTGGATCTATTGTCTGCAATCAGGCAGCCTTAATCAACTCTGAACCTGTAAATTTCATCTGCTTTGGCCAAAGGATGGAAAGTTATGGGCTGTTTTTAGATTCCCCATTATAGTGAATGGGGAAACGCCAAGCTTCATTTTATGTAGAAATAGATATATATTTTTAGTGCACAGGTAAATCTTGAAGACCCCTGTAATCCCCTGGGGTAGATTTTATGCTGATTTATTCAATTTAGTTATATAATTCAACTTTATACTAATAAAACATCTTCATGAGGATATAACACAAAAAACACAATGAAACTATTTATTCCACATAAATTATTGATTGATTGATTGATTGATTGATTGCATTTTTATACTGCCTTTCTGTCAAGGCAGCCAAGGTGACTATATAACATATATTTAACAATTTGTTTTTTTAAAAAAATAATATTTATTAATAGTTTCAGAATTACAGGGAAAATAAAAATAAAAAACAACACTACAATACATAAAAAAGCAAAAAAGCAAAACATAAAAACCAATACAACAATACAGCAAAAAGATAAAAAAAGAAGAAAAAAAGACACAAATCCCATGTTACATATCTTTAACTTCCATTTGCTTGTTTCATTGACCTCCTCACACCTCCCTTTTTGTATTCTAGTTTAATTAGTTATTTCAGCAAATTCTTTCCATCTTTCTCAATTTTTATTAAATAATTTATCTTAACAATTTAACCTATTAATTAACTCAACAAATCCTTTCCATCTTTTCCCCATATTCTGTTATTCAAATTACCTTAATTTATTTAACCTTATCTTACCGTAAAATACCTTAGAGCTTGAAACTTAATACTCAATTATACATAACTCCTGATATCATTTCTACTAGAGTCATATAGTTTCATTCCAACATTTTCCTTAATATTCATTAATTTTAGGCTAATTCCCTAAATAAAAATTTTCTTTATAAATTTTCTTCCAATCTTCATCCAACGTCTCTTCTTCCTGGTCTCGGGTCGTGTCAGTCCTTACTGTCCATTCCATCTAGTCCATCAACCTGGTAGTCTTATGTCCGAGGCCCTTAAGTCTCTTCCATGTCCCTTCTGCAGATCTTTTTCTTCTTGTTTATACTTGCACTTTTCCTTGTCTTTTGTTGGTCTCTTTCTTAATTTCTTTCCTTTCTCATTGAGGAGTAGGTCTCTGGGGGGTTCCAACCCAAAATTATCTCTGTCTCCCTTCATCAAACCAGCCCATTCCCCACAGTCCCACTCCCCACAATCATCAATGTAATCCAAAAAATATTTAAGAGCATATTTCAAAGTCTCTCCAAAGTTAAGAACCTCCTCAGCTCCAGACTCCCCCTGGCCCACTCCAACTTCAATCTTCAAAAACAGCGGCTTATGCTCCTGTAGGGCCTCGGGTCTCTCCATTTGTATTATTTGAGGTGCAACCGCAACCTCCTCCATTATC